CCGCTGCTTCTTGACACTTTAACCTGAATAACAAACCGGAGCTAGCTGGGAGCGGCTAGCGGAGCGTTAGCCGCAGCATGACCGGAGGGAAGCACAGCCAGTTAGCCTCCGCTAGTCTCTGAGCTAGCCCCGGCTCTCCGTTTGGATCCAACCGGAACGCCGAGCCCTGGTTTGTTATTCAGGTTAAAGTGGGAAGAAGCAGCGGGTTTATCGGGCAGCTGAGTGAAGTGGAGCCTGAGGAGGAAACACCGGGACCGGATCGTTAGCAGGAATGGGTATCGTGAAGATGTTATCGATTTAACTTCTCTTACCGATGCGCATTGCGGTTCTCCTTCTAATTTCTTTTTAGAAAACATATAAATTTAAAAAGAATAAATTCAGAACATGATTATTGGACATGTTAAATCTAACTAGATGTTGTTTCTAGAGCAGCAGCAAAGTCACTATATAAATAATATTCCTGACATCACAGTACTGACTGAAGGTTAGTTTTTATCAGCCGCTGTACGTCATTCCTCCTGTCCTCTGTCCTCTGTCCTCTGTCCTGCTCCCTCTCTGCTGATGTCATTCACTGTATGAAGATAACATTAGCAACTTGGCAACCCGACCAGGCCTCTAATAGAGACAGGCCTTTAGTTGACAGCATGTGTAGCCACACCAGGCTAGTAGAAGGCACCGGGTGTTTAATTGAGACCAGGCTTTTAATTGAAGTCAATTTGTTTTGTCCTTCAGCTGTGGGTCATTTTTTACAGTGCGCAGACTGCACACACTGAGTGGACACTATAAAGACACACACTGAGCCGTCTTGTGTCCCCCCCACAGCTGCAGCTGCGTATCCTTTAAATGTCACGACCTTCCAACACACTTTAAAACATCTCAGGCGCGTGCACGACACATGAAGGAGCATGCACGAGGGACAGCTGCTGGTGTCAGACTGACTTCAGTGTGTCCCTGCTCTGTGATCCTGACGGCATTAACTGTATTCTTCTCCACAGTATCATGAGTGCTGTGGACATCAGACTGTCCTCACCATGTGCAGTGATTGTGGACATTGGTCAGAGGCCACAGTCTGAGCGAGACGTCTGTCCCTCTGTGGACACTCACATACATCAATAATTATAACAATGAAGGTCAAACAGTTGAGTGTGGACGGAGCTTTTGTATCAGTGACTTCATTAAGATGAGCGTCTGTTGTGAGGTAACGATGGGATTGATCAGTGTTCAGCTGGTCAGCAGGTGAATGAACCTCAGTTTACACAGCTTTGGTTCCTCACTGATAAAGAGTGGATTTGCTGCAGTACAAACTGTTCACAGCTCTGATAACACACTGTTATTACTGTGTCAGTGAACGCACCACCTATACCTCAACCTCGACCTGTCTTTGTCTGTGTGTGTGTGTGTCTCTTACTCTGTGTGTGTCTCCAGGATGGGCGCCACAGTCTTCGTGCAGCCGTTGGACCTGGTGAAGAACAGGATGCAGCTGAGCGGTCAGGGCACAAAGGCTCGAGAGTATAAAACCAGCTTCCACGCTCTGTTCTCCATCCTGAAGAACGAGGGAGTCGGAGGCATCTACACTGGGTACCTGACGCTTTACCTGCCTCTTCATCCACCGCATCACCTGACGCTTCATTTAACACTGTACCTGATAAATTCATTTGATGCGACATTTGACGCTTCACCTGCTTTTGTTATCTGTAAACAACCTGTCTCACAAAACCACCATCACCGACCAGCGTCTCCACACTGTTCATAATGAAGTCATTTAGGTGTTTATTCATGTAAAAATAAAACAACAAATGTTTAATAATTAAAAATAAAAAAAACAATGTTTATTTAAGAAAATACTGATGTTGTTTAAAAAATGAATTATTATTATTATGATTTATTAAAATAAAAAACTAAAAGTTTAATTATTAAAAGCAAAACAAAATTGTATTTACTAAGAATAAAAGCAACAAATGTTTTAATCATTACAAATAAAAAACTGAATGTTTAATTATTTAAAGCAAAAAAGTTGTATTTTCTAAGAATAAAAAAGACAAATGTTTAATTAAAAAAAACATTTAAATTATTAAAAGCAAAAACATTATTTATTAAGAACCAAGTAATTAAGTATTTACTAAGAATAAAAGCAATCAATGTTTTAATTATTAAAAATAAAGGCAATAAATCTTAAGTCATCAAAAACAAAAACAACTAATGTGTAATTCATGAAAAACTAATGTTTTTTCATTAAAAATAAAAAGAACGAATGTTTATATTTAAGAAAATAAAAACATCACGTGTATTTATCAAATATAAAAACAACACATTTATTATCAGAAAAAAATCAACAAATGTATAGTCATCAAAAATAAAACAAGAAATTCTAATTAAGAATACAGATTATTTTTTATTGAAAATAAATAAAACAAATAGTTATTTATCAGAAATTAAAAAAAAACCCATAAAATTTTACTGAAAAAACAACAAATGCATTTTTTTATAAAGAAAAAATATTAAAAAACAGATGTTTATTTTCTGCGTGTCAGTCTGTCTGCAGGTTTGTTGCGTCAGGCGACGTATACGACAACTCGTCTGGGAATCTACACCATCCTGTTCGAGAAGATGACCGGAGCTGACGGGCGACCGCCAAACTTCTTCCTCAAGGTACGAAAATGTTAACTTCCTGTTTTCAGGGCTTCAACTTCATCTGACACTTCAGGTTCTGTCACTGAAAGCTGTGTCAGTTCATATATAAGAGCTGAAAACAGTCAAAGTGTCTGTCGGTGATTTCAGTGTAGAATGTTGCCATGGCAACACATTAGCTTACGACAGTTAATGTAAGGGCTAGCTTGGAAAGTAACATTTCAGATTACAGACAAACATGAAATATTTTTAATAAAAGATGAAAACGTGTGGCGAGTTGATCAGAGGTGGCTGTTGATGTGTGACAGAGTGGAGGCTGTCAGTTATTACAGCCTCCACTCTGTCACACATCAACAGAGTGACAGAGTGGAGGCTGTAATGATGTCAGTTATTACTGTAGTTGTTGCTAATAGCAACAGAGAGTCAGCCGAATGCTGTCACACACTTAAGGCCCTGATGTGGAGAGTTATTTCCTCTCAAGCAGGCACAGAACAAATGCTCATTGGCTGTCAGCTGTAGTCTTTGTGGCGTGTTCATGTGCGACTTTCTTAGCTGAGACACAAGCGACGTGCATCAACGCTAGACGCTAGTTCTCTGAGGTCAGGTTGGTAACAGTGTGCTCCCCCTGCAGGCTCTGATCGGTATGACAGCTGGAGCTACAGGAGCATTTGTGGGGACGCCAGCAGAGGTCGCTCTGATCAGGATGACAGCTGACGGACGGTGAGACAGATGGACAGACACGGTTGATCATCTGTAGTCACAAATATGTTTGACTCAGTCATGTGTTTATGTGTTGGGTTTGATTGGTGGTTGATCACATGACAACATGAAACCAGTTCACATGGTGATGACTCTGTGGTGATGCTTTTGTCTGTCTCTCTGTCTGTCTGTCTCTCCAGTCTCCCTGCAGACCAGAGGAGAGGTTACACAAATGTTTTTAACGCTCTGGCTCGAATCACCAGAGAAGAAGGCGTCACCACGTTATGGAGGGTGAGGTTCATTTATGTCCCTTCCTCCCTTTAACCTTTTAACATTTTCTCAGTCTTCTAACATTACGTTTTGTTGTGTGTTTGTTTGTTTGTTGTAGGGGTGTGTTCCCACCATGGCTCGAGCAGTGGTGGTGAACGCAGCTCAGCTGGCCTCTTACTCTCAGGCCAAACAGGCGCTGCTGGACACAGGTACACACTATGCACATTAAATACCACACTCAGTTACACACAATAAACATGTACTGTAATGTGTACTTTGTGTGTGTTTTCAGGTTATTTTGGGGACGATATTTTGTGTCACTTCTGTGCTAGTATGATTAGTGGTCTGGTTACCACGGCAGCATCGATGCCCGTTGACATCGTTAAGACCAGGTGAGACTCTAAACTCTAACCA